AAAACCATTGGTTCAGATATACAGAGAAAATGGATCGAATGGTAGAAGAAGCTTTTAGATTGAATGTGAAATGGTCATTACAAGAATTATCAAGAGCAATAAATGGTGATGGTAAAACATCGCCAAATCCACTATATAGAGTAAAAGTGGTGTTAGAAGGAGACAAGGTAAATACAGTAGTTACATCCAAATTCCATGAAAGGCATTTAATGTGACTCAGATATATCAACAAATAAAATAAAGCAATAACATATGAAGAAAATAATCAACACTATTGATTATAGATATATTAATTTAAAGAGTCAAAATACTGAACTGAGGACATATGCTACAATTTTGAGAAATAGAATTCAGAACAAGCAACCATAATTGCCTCAAATATCTGTCTAATTGAAATGCCATTCAATCTCAAAAATTCATTCAACTATTACCCAGCACAGTTAAAAAAAATATAAACACAATGCCATTATCAAGGCATATAACTACCGGTACATGTATGTTGTTTTCTAGGCCAACTTCATCTGAGTTTATGTCTAACAATTGCTGTTCATTTCCTTAGGTTGAATTTTCTCCCACATTGAAAAAGTTAGCTAGCATTGTTAACAACACAAGTAGCCACCTAACCATAGCAATCTCAGCAGTTGCCAGACTTCCAGACTTATTGACAAGAAGAAGATCTAATAAAGAGGTGAATTCTTTTGTTATATTTTTGAATTTAATACTATAATGATATTATTTTGTTGTCACTGATTCTAAGCACTAGTCTGTTCAGACAATAAATATACTCATATTGCTTACAAATATTTTATTGTAGCCCATCTATGTTGTAATTGAAAAAGACGACGAGACCAAAAAGATCCAGAATACTGTGAATGCTGGTATGCAGTCAAATGCAACACATTTACAAAATTATCTCACTACATGGGACAGGTAAACTTAAACTTGATCTTATTATTCATTGTAATAATTATTTAAAATAAATCCTCTTTCTCTCCTGTGTAAGTGAAATAACATGGAAAACATTAACATGTAATGTGATTCAAGGTAGTCAACTAGTGGCCATTTTTAGATTATAAAATGTTTTAATGTCAAGCAATTCTATCCTTCCACAAATCTCTGTGCATTCTATTCACTAAATTCATTAAATAAAATACCTCATTGCAAGATAACTGCTGTGCAATTTATTAAATCTGATTCATAATGGACACATGTAGTCTTGTCCTCTACAAAAATAACTAAACTAGTTAGAAAAGCATTGGAGTAGCCACCATATCTTAAAACTATTTCATCATTAATGAAATCTGTTTTACACATTAGCTTATATATTATCGTTTCATGTTCAATATTTGTTGACATGAAGTGAAAAGAATGACCAAATGCCAAAGTACTGTTTATAATTGGCTGATGTAAAACATATCATCTAAATTTCTTATAAAGGCAAGACTTAGATATTTTTTCTCTTTTTCAGTTATCGTGAGATCTGGGAGATTCAAAAAGATGCATTTATTAGACGATACCAGAGACTTAATCCACCAGTGTCTTCATTTGATGCTGATATTGCAAGGTAGGTTTGGCAATGATCAGCTGGATCACATGTAACAAATTTGTACATACTGAAGAGAAATTCTGGTTTGTTATATTTTTGCATAATTCATGTTTTTTTTCTTATTTATTTAGATATACTGAAGTTGCTAACAATGTTTCAAAAGAAGAAACTGTTTTAAATATACAGTTTGTGTTGCTTGACTGTTCACCATTGAAATTCTCCTTACTTAGCCATTGCAATGAGTGGCAGAGTAAATTCACAACACTTTTAAGGGAGATGGCCACACAGAAACTAACAGAACTTCACGAGTTTCTTAAAGACAATGCTGAAAAGTATGTATTTGTTTACAATCTAAGTAATAATTGGTGTCATTTCTATCGATGGTTCATTTATCTAGCTTGAAGAAACCTGAGTGATATGTAATTATGTTAATAATATATGGTGTGTTATTGCTACCTACAGACTGAGTAAACCTCCACAGACCCTGGATGAACTTGGCGATAGTCTACAACTATTGGAAAAATTACAGACAGACTTGAGTACTATTGAAGCTAGATTTCCACCACTGCATGAACAGTTTGCCATTCTTGAAAAATATGATGTTGGTATACCAGAAGAGGTACATAACTGTTAATTTTGACAATTTTCTATTAAGTATAATTATTCTTTACGTATTTTTCTAAAGTTTGCAAATGTTATTTTCAGACACAAAAGATGCTTGATGAGTTGAGTAATGAATGGGTTAGCTTCCAGCAATGCATTATTGACAGTGATGCTATGCTCAAAAAATATAAAGAGAAATTCAAAAGTGGACTTATTGCATCCGCTGAAGAATTCAAGAAGAATGTTCACAATCTTTATGAAGATTTCCATTCAAATGGTGAGTTGCAATCGTTGTGATTGGTTAATATACGAGTTAAGGCTATAATAATTAAG